CTGTGGGAACACCTCCCCTAGATGAACCTACTGACTAAGCCAACCTCATTCTCTTCTCCCAGACACATCGAAGCTGCCATCGAGAAACTGAGCAAACGACACGACTACCACATCTGTGTCTATGACCCACGAGGTGGCAGGGACAACTCCCGACGGCTCACTGGCCACCACGAGACATCCAACATCTTTGAGTTCTCTGCTGGCGTGGGGTGGCCAACCGAGGTGCCAGCATCCGCATCCCACGCCAGGTTGGCCAAGATGGCTATGGTTACTTTGAAGATCGACGGCCAGCAGCCAACTGTGACCCCTACGCGGTCACCGAGGCCATCATGAGGACAACGGTGCTCAACGAGACTGGGGTGGAGACCAAGGACTATGCTGACCACTGAGGCTGCGGGGTGGGTGGAGGTTTTTGTTTCTACACTAGCTTCTCACGTGGAATTTGTGCCTGTGCAGTGTCCTCAGCTGCCAGCTCAGACTCTTTAGGAGCCTCGCTTTTGGTTTTGTGAAACGTCGCCTTAGAAATATATATATTTTATAGTAAGAAGGAGGAACCCAACCTATTTTCCTATTTTCTCAACCACTTTTTTTTTTCCCTGGTTCCTCATTTTAGGCCTTATGTGGGGAGTTGGTTTTTTATTTTAAAACTTGGATTGAATGTTTTTTTGATGGACTTTACACTGTGATGTACATAGATCCCTACGTGGAAGCTGCAGCTGCTGCTGTTTACACCTGGGAGGGTGGGGGCTTTATTTTTTTTTTCCCATATCTCTGTTACAAGGAAATGATAATAAATAACTTTCCTGGCTGGGTGGCAGCTGGGTTATGCTGTGGTGGGTGCATTTTTCTCTAGCTCCTAGAGCTCTGTAGAGGATTTAATTTGGGTTTTGTTGATGGCTTGTAGCCACTGAGCAACCTGCACCAACCCTGGGTGAGGGGCTGGAGGAGCTGAGATGCTGGAGGATCCTTGGGGCAGGTGCTTGGAGCTGCCTCACCCCATTTGCAGCAGCAGAAAGGCCATCTCCTTCCATCGTGATCCCCTGAAAGGCAAACAGAGCGGCGTGGGCTGAGCAAACAGCAGCCAGGGCAGCAGCTGGCAGGAGTTTACACAGGGTGTGTGCTGCTGAGTCAGCAAAGCTGACCCAGTGCTGGGCACAGTGAGCAGCAACCCTCCCCTCTGGGGATGCCTTTGGGTGAGGGGAGCCTGGGAACATCCCCCTCCTGCACCCCAGAGTGATGCCTCTGGAACAGCAGGATGATGCGAGGGCTGGAGCAGCTCTGCTGTGAGGACAGGCTGAGAGAGTTGGGGCTGTTCAGCCTGGAGAAGAGAAGGCTCCGGGGAGACCTTCTAGTGGCCTCTCAGTACCTGAAGGGGCTCCAGGAAGGCTGGGGAGGGACTTTTCATAAGGGCAGGGAGGAAGAAATTCTTTGGTGTGAGGGTGGTGAGACAGTGTCCCAGGTTGGCCAGAGAAGCTGTGGCTGCTCCTCCCTGGAAGTGTTGAAGGCCAGGCTGGATGAGGCTTTGAGCAACCTGGTCTAGTGGAAGGTGTCCCTGCTGATGGTAGTGGGGTTGGAACTGGCTGAGCTTTAAGGTCCCTTCCAACCTCTCTCATTCTATGACATGGCACAGCTCCTTGGGTTGGAGTCTCTTTACAAGAGGGGGGTCATAGGTCTTATTCATGGAGCAAAACCCCCAGGTGGGGTCATTTCCATGTAGATGGGATGTCAACAGCAGCTCCAATGGCCAGGCCCTTGGAGTCCCTGCATGCTGCAAGTATGGGAAGGAGCCAGATGCAAGTGCAGGGCACAGCTCTCTGGTCCCAGGGTCACCTTGAACTGGCAGGTCAGGTCCCTGGGATGTGACCCAGCTGCAGACACCAACAGGGAGGTTCCCTGGAGGCAAGGGGGACCAGCAGCATGTGTGGACAGAGGACATAATGTCTACTCCAGTGCAGTCATAGGGATTTGGAAACTGGTTTTATCTTTATCTTTGAATCCGATGCAGCTGACAAGCCTACATGGAGGACCCCAAGTCCTGCAGGTCACACATCACTGCCAGTGGAGCAGGGAGCAAGGCTGGTGGCAGCCAGGGAGGTGGCCATGCCCCAACTGCAAGCAGCCAGGAGCTCTCGATGTCTCTGAGCTGTTCAAAACCAAATGTAACCTTGTCCCCATGCTAAGAAGGACAAATTTTCCTTCCAGAAATTGCTGTTTGGGATATTGAACCTTCTTCATCAAAAACCACAACACTGCCTTGGGTTTTCCCTCCCATTTCTGTGATGTCTTTAATGGGTAACGTGAGCACTGGGACAGCGGCTGCTGGATGCAGCTGGAAAATCAATAAAGAACTAAATCTGGAGCAGGAAGATGAATATTTGTTTCATTTATTAATGACTGTACCAGTGGCTGAAAGTATTTCAGCTTCCACCCGAGTGTGCTCCACGAGGGATTGCTCAATTTGGGGAACTGTGTGGATCTGCATTGCCAACACACAAACATCTTCAGCTGGATGCAGCACTGTGGTGAATCCAAGCTGTTCCTGGGTCTCACCCTGCAATTCTCCTCTGACAGAGGACCCTCCTCTTCAGCACAGGATGATGAAGCTCCAGGGAAACATCCAGGGACTCACCCAAAGTCACCAGTTGTGTTCCCCAGGCCTCAGTTTTGGGGCCAGTCTTGTTTAATATCTTTATCAATGACCTGGACAAGGGGATCGAGTGCACCCTCAGCCAGTTTGCAGGTGACACCAAGCTGGGCAGGAGTGTTGATCTGCTTGAGGGTCAGGAGGCTCTGCAGAGGGATCTGGACAGGCTGGAGCAATGGGCTGCAACCAACTGTATGAGGTTCAACAAGGCTGAGGGCCGGGTCCTGCACTTGGGTCACAACAACCTCACTCAACACAACAGGCTTGGGGAAGAGCAGCTGGAAAGCTGTCTGGTGGAAAAGGACTTGGGGTTGTTGGCCAACAGCAGCTGAACATGAGCCAGCATAGTGCCCAGGTGGCCAAGAAGGCAAACAGCATCCTGGCCTGGATCAGCACCAGTGTGGCCAGTAGGACCAGGGCAGTGATTGTCCCCACATGGAGGTGCTGGAGCGTGTCCAGAGAAGGGAACGGAGCTGGGGAAGGGTCTGGAGCACAAGTGTGATGAGTTCCCTTGTGGCTGAGGGAACTGGGGGTGTTGAGCCTGGAGAAAAGGAGGCTGAGGGGAGACCTTGTGGCTCTGTGCAAGTCCCTTGGAGGAGGGTGGAGAGAGGTGGGGGTGGGTCTGTTCAACCAAGGCCCAAGGGACAGGACAAGAGGAAATGGGCTCCAGTTGTGGCCAGGGCAGTTGAGATGGGATGTGAGGAAGAATTTCTTTGCTGAAAGGGTTCTGAGGCATTGGAAGGGGTTGCCCAGGGCAGTGGTGGAGTCCCCATCCCTGGAGGGATTGAAGAGTATTGTTGATGTAGCACTTAGGGACATGGTCCAGTGGCCATGGTGGTGTTGGGTTGACGGTTGGACTTGGTTATCTGAGAGTTCTTTTCCAACCTTAATGATTTTATGTCTAAAGCCACAGCCTGAGCTTCTCCCTGAGCTGGGGTCAGCCCTGGCCACCGTTTGCTGCCTGCTGGTCCCCATGAGGCTGGAGCTGCTGTGTGCTTGGACACTTTCATGCTGTCCTTTGCCAAAACAAAGCCCTTCTTGCTTGTACTTTTTGAGGTCAAAATGGGCCACAAACCATACATCAGGGTTTTGGGTTTTTTTTCCTAAAGCAGGAGGGATTCCCACCCACAGGAGGAACAAGGACACCAGCGAGTTCCCACAAGAGCTTTTCTTATCATTCCAGTGTGTTGGCTTCTGAAGAAGTTGGGCTGTTGGGTTCAGCCAGCAAAGCAGGTGCTGGGGATGGAGCCAGACCTTGGTTTGGAGCTTGAAGGCCATATGGGGAGACAGTGACCCTGTCCCCATCCAAAGGATGAGCAGTGCTGGAGGAGATGCACCCAGCATCACCTGCTGGACCATGATGGGTGGGAGCAGTGCTGGGACCCCAGGGGAAACCCACCCCAAGATGGGGGTGTGTGGGCTGCTGCAAATTTGGGTGATCACAGAATCCCAGAATGGCCTCGATTGGAAAAGCCCTTGAAGCTCATCGAATCCCATCATGAACCCAACACTGACCAGTCCCCGACTAACCCATGTCCCTCAGCACTGTGTCTACACGACTCTTCAATCCCTCCAGGGATGGGGACTCCACCACTGCCCTGGGCAACCCTTTCCAATGGGGGGGTTGTGGGGGCCTGGAGCCGCTTCCCGGGGGTTTGCTGCCCTCCGCTGGCCCCGAGGCAAATAACAGGGACCTGCGATCGCCACCAGCCCGGCAGCGGGGGGGTCGGGATGGCTCAGCAACCCCAGATTGGCTCTGCACCCCTGGATCTTGCCCTGCACCCCCAGACCTTTGCTGGGAGAAGGCAGAGGAACTGGTTGACAAACCTCTTGTTCCTAAAAGAGCGTTGGGTGGGCGATGCCCAGAACCTCTTCAACACAAACTCCTTTTATTAAGGCTCTGACCATGACCCCCCCACCCAGGACCACCCCGCACCCTCACCCCCTAACCAGATGCACCCACCTTTACCAAATCTTGTGTTTCTACACACACACTCACAGCTCATGGTAAATAAATCCCCCTTTGAGCTCTTTCCTGCACCCATCCCACCCCTCGGCTGGAGGCACAGAGCTGGGTGCTGCCAAGGGGATACAGAATCCCAGACTGGTGGGGTTGGAAGGGAGCTCAGGAGATCATCCAGGCCAACCCCCCTGCCAGAGCAGGAACACCTACAGCAGGTCACACAGGAACGTGTCCAGGCGGGTTTTGAGCATCTCCAGAGAAGGAGACATTTATGAAACAGTTCTTTTTTAAGAAACAGTTTTATGACTTCCAGCTGCTTAACCAGTGTTTAAGTTGCAACTCAACTTGTCTCCTTCCTCCAATTACTCCAGAACTTTAAGAGATATTGTTATTAAAAGCTTTGTGAAAAATTTAAGTTAAACACATCAGCCATTTTCAAATCCTTTCAAAGAATCCAAATAGGTTAAGGAATTGCAACGTGCTCTTGGTTAAGTTGTGCTGTTTGGGCTCTATGGGGCTATATTTTTTTCAATTCTTGTGTAACTGTCCTTAGTTACACTTTCAGTTAATTTCCTGAATGTATTACTGTCTACAGTGAGGTATTAAAAGCAAAGCACATAATTTCTTGGGATCATTATTACAACCCAGTAATATAAGCATACAATGTGGCCTCACCAGGGCAGAGTAGAAGGGAAGGAGAACCTCCCTCGACCTTAGTTAACCGTCGGGACATTTGTCCCCCAGGCTGTGACCCAACAGATAGACAAGTGGCTCTGGCAGAT